AAAAAAGAACAGAAAACGACGGTCAGCACGGATAAAGAACCTTCTACTGCTCCAGTTATATTACCCGCCGCGACAAAGACGGAGCGTTTCCTCTTGACGGCTGCCGATCAGGAATCAGGTTCGCGAGATGAGCGGTTGAATCGGGTCATCCAGGCGAAGTATGAGGCGGGGTTGTTGAAACCCTATAATTATGTGAAAGGGTATGCGAGACTGTCGAGGTGGATGGATCGAAAGTGAGTTTTGTTCTTGGTCAGCGCATATGCGGCCTTGCATTGATTGGTTATGACAACCTTATTCTCGTAGTGTATCACAAGATTCAAAGCAGCAGATTTTACAACCGTTATCTGTACTCCGACCTAAATTTCGCGTATGTTTCGCACTCGCTATCGATCCGACCTTAGTGTTTATTATTTCATTTAGGCCGTAGCACAATCTCTTACTGATATCGTACGCCCCATGTCCAATATCACTACACTCCCCATGAAAATGAATTGTCTTAATACTCTAGGACCTAGTCTTTATTGAGGAAGCTTTCGAGCGTCTTTTACTTGATTACGACCGCGTTTTCTCCGCGATGGGAATACCTGCGTGTCTTTGGCGCAGGACTGGGGAGATATACAAGGGAAACAGAGAGTTTGCAGAGTTAGTTGGGGTTGATGAATATATGATGCGTGATGTAAGTTTCGCAGACACAATCCTGTGATTATCGATTCACGTCCTGATTCACGACAATGTTAGGGTCGTTTATGCATATACGAGCTTATGGCAGAAGAGTCGGCCGTAAACTATTGGGAGGTCCGTAATATCATTACAACGTCCCTACTCACCTCACCACAGCTCATTGTCAAACAGAAATACGGCCAGGTTGCCTTCGACTCGCACCAAAAAGCCATTCTCACATCATGTGTTCTTCGATTCCGTCCCGTACTGTCGACATCAACGACCTCTGGCCCGGGCACGCCGCGTACCCTTGCACGGCGAGCCCTTCCGTCGCAAAACTCGCAACTGCAGCAAGGCAGCACGCAGAATCAGGTTCGCAATGAGGAAGGATGCATTAGCTGCTGCTTTTCGTTCACGATACGGAGGGATATGTGGGGTATTCCGAGTATGATCGTTGGGAATTTTATCAAGTGCTGATCCACACTCTACGAGATAGATATATGAATCTGAAGCACAGGGAAATTGCGTTATTATTATGCATCAATAGCCCCCATTTCCCCATCCATTATTCCAGTGAGCATCCTGGCTCAGAACCCACATATCAAGTATCTCGTATTGTGGGCAGGCTTCTTCCCTCCTCAGTCGGCGACGCAGTACAGTGTCGGAAGCTCAGAACGGGGATGCCCTAAAATTGTGAAACATGGCGGGAGAAATAATAAAATAAAATTGAAACAAGCGCGCCAAAATTTTCGGAATGAGTAAAATCGCGTTTCTTGCCCAGTTTTCTGTTTAAAAATTTGACGTGAAGGTTTCCGAATGCGCCATTGAGGCTGGCGGTCTTAGTTCTTTCAACACTAATGCGTCGACAATGTCTTAGCCGGGCTAGGAGAAACTGCCAAGCCGCGTGCCATGCCTGCCGTGCCGTGCCATGCCGCCATAATGGTGCCGTAGCCAGTCCCGTAGCCAGTCCCATAGCCAGTCCCGTAACTGCCGTAGCCAGAGTTCCATTGCCAGTCCCATGGTTTTGCATGGCAGCCCTTCTCGAGCCATACATCATGCGCGGGTATTGAACTGATCGCCACCGCTTTTCACTGTGCAGTCCCCCAATGATGCAGATAATAAATAATATTATGATTAAACTAAATTATTGCGTAGGACATAGATATTTGCTAGGCAATGAGAATCAGGGTGGAGATACACAAGTCACTGCAGCAAAAATTATGAAAAATCGGTGGGAGTGGTGTCAAATTTCAGGATCGTACCATGGTAATCAACTTTTTGTTGCATCGGTGACTTTCTTTGGCGTCGGCCTTTGTTTCGGGGCAATAGCTGGTTGTTTTGGTTGTTCAATATGGCGTTCAGTATGACTCCGTCACTATAGTTTGGCCCACACTAAATGTAATAATCACAGCGAAAAGGTTACTACGTTCAGACAGCCCGGTTGGAGTTGGCACTCGTGCAAATAAAAAGTGGAATATTTATTGTTCTAAAGATTTCGTTAGTCTCTTGAAATTTAAGAACTGAATTTGTAAAATGTGACCAACAATTTGATGAAGAAAATTTTCCCCGATGACACAACGGAGGAAAGGATATATTTGAGAAAATGGATGTAGCATCTGCGACACTTTAAAGTAATTGTTTGATTGCAGACTCCCATGCCCAACCATTTCTGTCGCCGTAGCCTACCATGCCCATCCACAATCCTACCATTCCTGTCCCGTAGCTTACCATTCCCATTCCCGTAGCCTCCCATTCCCATTCCCGAAGCCTACCATTCCCAGTGCCGTAGCTCTCAGTCCCAGTCCCATAGTTACTCCCGTAGCGTGCCGTAGAGAGCCATGTTCGATCCACTCCCGCACCACATTTTAGGTGTCTCAAATAACTTCACCATACTAATGGAACTTATACATTGAGGTGCACACTATACCATAGAAGCAACTTCGTTACATATATTCACCCTGACGAGCAACGTAGTATGTCAGAACGCAGATAATGGCTACAGTCTAGAGGCATGGCTACGGCATGGCAGCGGCATGGCAATGGTATGGCGGGCATGGCACCCAACATGGCAAAATATCCTGGCCCTGCCCGATCGGGTGGATTGGGTGTTTTCGGTTAAGAAATACCCTATGGGGAGTTAGGGCTTGGGTACCTATGGGCATTCTCAGATGCTAGATAGGGTGATTCGAAGATAGGGAGTTTTGCAAAACCTCCCTATCCAACCGAACGGGATATGGGGATTTCACCCATTTTTACCAATATATTTCGCGTAGAAAATCAACATATATTACGTGCCACTCCTCCTGTACCCGGTAAAAAATCCCTGATACATTCATTATATTTTGTTGCATATTAGGCATTTGTTTCTGGCTAAGAAATTTATTGGGATGTACAAGGATTATTATTCAATTATTTTCGCAGATAGGGACTTCTTTGTCAAACACCCCATCGAGAGGATGGGGACTTTTCAGATCAAAACACCATGGGGATTTTCAGCTTGAGAAAGCCCCATCGGGAGGTTAGGGATCATCTCAAAAATCCCCATAGGACAGTTGGGGATTTCTGGTCCAAAACTCCCTATATCCTATCGGCTGGATTACTGGATCGAAGGTGCGCTTAGTCATCATTCATGCGATGCCTGTGCCTCTCACGAGAACCAGCAATGGAGCAAGGACCTTCGTATACGCCTGGGTGATCCTAGCATCGTTCCAATCCATTGCAGCGGTAGTTACTAACCGGAAGTAAATGCCTTTTGCCAGTGCCGATTTTGATTTATTTACGAGAATGATCGATTTACAGGAAGACCAATTTGCAGACTCTCCGGGACAAATGGCTGGAAACATCCACCATCAAAGCTTCTCTTGTGCCTGCACTCCTTCCTGCGGTATACGCACGTCTTCGGCGCGTAACTACCGAACATACTGCCGACCAACATGCTAGAACATACGTTCCGCCACTGTTCTCGGCTTTGACACTCCTCCTGCTTCCGCCGTCATGGCGGCTTCAGATAGCCGCATACGCTGCGTCTGTTGCTATTTTCCATGTCCATGCGGGTAAATCGTCACAAGCACCACGGAAGATAGGATACGTAAAGTTATTCAAGTTACCACCGATATGGACGTTGAATGTGGTCGGAAACGCGTGGTTGATATGGGCCTTCCTGTTTATGAGCGATGCATTTCCAAGGGCGTACGAAAGAGTGATTCTCTCCGTGGGTATTCTAATTGACGTTACATTCTGAAGAGATCTGTATTGAAACATTTCGAGCAGCACTCATCTCACTATGTCCCCAACGATATGAGCAAGAAGCATCTTGAACGATTTCTATCTTCTACTGATTTTCCTGTACTCCGACGACCACCGTCTAAGCTTTCAGATTCTCAATCTATCTCGGCGGGCCAGGATGAGACACACAGCAACAGCAATATGCATGTCGTTTGTAGAACACTCCACCCTCGCGAACCAAGCTGTTTCAAGAATTACGTCAATGCATTATTGTACGAATCAAGGAAAGTTTGGAAATGGGTTGGGGCATTTGGTGCCCTGTCGATCGCTTTGAGATATCGTGGGGAAGTTCTGCGAAGGTTGGGGAATTTTCAATTATACGAAGTTTACTAACTTGAGGAGCAGACCTGGTAAACTAGCGCGTCAGTGGTTGGTGTCGACGGCGAGGGGGACGGCATTCGTCGTCGGAAAGTATGTCCGATATCTAATTCATGTTTAAATCCTTACGAATCGCCTCTCATTTCGCCTGTCTGCAGCATAACAACCTCATGGTACCTCACATGTCTAATGCAGCAAATTCTCCCGCCAGGCATGTTTGTGAACTCTCGGTACGCTTTGCATCATCTGGCTCTCGTATTTCACCACAATTTAAAATGCAGATGGCTGGTGAACGGGGCATTGTCGTCCCTGTGGATCCTCGTTCTCCCGCCGAAACGCCGCGATGAGATCGCGTTATACGTTGGACGTCTTGCTGCGTTGAGCATGTGGCGCGCGTATCGACTCAAAGGCGGACCGCACCTTCCGTGAGTGGAACATGCGTTTATCATAAATATTCTCAATATTCTGGCAGGTATGGCGAGGTGGTCATTTTCGGTACAGCCTGGGCGCATTTGTCAGAGTCGATGAGAACAGGCGAGAAGGTGGGCGGGTTGATGGGACTAGGGATCGCAGAGGTGGAGAGGAAGAGGTAAACCATTGTAATGTATGTGTACTAGCGAATAATACGGTATACTATCTAATCTATCATGGGTTATGCCAGAATTTCTAGCAGCCAGCTGGGCCTCGTTCAATATAATGAAATTGCCAAAAAACACCATTGCCAAAGTTCAAAACATTGGCAATGACGAGATTCGAACTCGCGAGGTTTCCCACCAGTGTTTTGGCTGATTACCTAAAACTGGCGCCTTAACCACTCGGCCACATTACCGTAAATTTGGAGGTCCTTGAGGGCCTACAATACCCTGGGAAATGTTGGAACTTCAAAATGGGAGAGTACAACAAGAAAAAATGAGAATTTTAGCCAATAATATACTCAAGTTGCACATTTTCGGACTTCCAGCCGTTTCCGATGAACGGGGCTTGGAGGAAATATGCAATCGAACCTGTGGCGCACGCACGCCACACCTGCCCGTTTTGGTAACTCTCGCCACATCCCTTGTTCGAGGCTGCTGGAGGCCAAAATATGGAGCAGCTGCTTTGGAGGCATGTTCATAAAATTGACGAATCAGTTGGGGAGAGGGGGGGGCGTCGATTTTTTTCACGCTCTGACAGTGCGGCCACCGTGACAACTCAGTATCGACGTCACCAGATCTGCTGAAGTTCGCTGAAGTTGCACATTGCAACTATCAACAAGGCTAGTACCGTACATCATTGCGACCATGGCCCTACGAGTCGTCGGTGCATCTGAATCCCAGGGAAACTGTGCGTCAAACATATGACATTAGTTATCGCTGAAAAATAACAGTTTTGCTCAGCAGATCTGGTCTCAGGTTTTTAGCAGTACCTACATGTGTATATTGCAGTTG